AATAAAATACAATTGTAATTATTAAATAATAAAATTTTATAATTAATTCTAATTAATTATAAATAATTATTATATAATATGTATTGCAATTATTTTTTAAAATAAGAGTAAAATAAAAATAAAGACATTAAATAATATGTTTAAATAGAAAAATAAACAACTAATTAAACACCCAAAATAATTAATTAGAACAATAGTATAAAATTTCCAATTACTAAGTGTGACATAGAAAATGTCAATATTAACATCCAATAATCAGGCATAGAAAATTCTATTTACAATATCAACTGGCAATGCATAAGCTGGGTCAATGGCTTTTAATCCTGAATACTCAAGAAGTGAAAGCTCTCCATTGACAACAAAATATGAATGAATGACCATATTCTAAAAAAAAAAAAGAATCCATAATTATACAGTCTGGAAGTGCTTCATTGGACAACAATAAAACTTTTGTTAGAAAAAGCTGAGCTTGAGATCAATGGGTAAACTTTTTATGGAAACGGAAAATATCAGATGGATTAGGATTAATTAATCATAAGAAAATGCAAATGTTTAAGACAGAATTAAGTTGTATCAGATACCAGCAACCCCAAAATATGTGTGAAAGCCACCAACAGCATCATCAGGTTTATCTGAAATTCCACCATTCTCCAAGTCTTGAAATTTCAACAATTAACAGCATGATATTTGTGAATATCTCACATGACATCTAAAACTTAAAAATTAAAAATTTACCTTTGTAAACATGTTGACGAGAGAATAGATCCAATGAATTAAATATAGTTATTAGATTTGAAAAAGAGAAATTTGTTAGGAAAAAATTTAGAGGAGGAAGTAATAAAGAGGGAAAAGTTCTTACCTCATAGTTGATTTGAGAATAAATCAATTGATTATGAACAGTGAGAAGCAAATTTCAAGAAATAGATTTATAGCAATACAAAATTAAGGACAATACAAAATGAAGGATAATGAAGAGAATACCTTTAGAGAGAAGAATCAAACATTATTTTTTTCTTATAAAATGAACTATACTTGTAGAAGCAAAAAATAAAAAGACTAGAAAAAATTGTAACCGCACATGAGTTATTATTAATGCATTATAATCCTATGTTTTTACTCTTCATAAATTTTGAACATATATTCATCTTTCTTTGATTTAATACATTATATTACTTTATTTATGATATGCAAAGTAATAATTACAAAATAATTGAGAATATTAAAATAAGAAGTGGAAGATAAAAAAAGTTGAACTCATACTATTAACTAGATTTATTTACATCATTTATTCATTTGTAATTAAAATAAAATGACAAAATTTAGTACTTATTTAATGTTTAGGGTATATGTAAAAATTATTATTATATATATTATATATATTTTTATGGGAATAGTGCCTTTACCTCCTAAAAATTAGGAGGAATATTATTCCAAAACTATGTCATTTTAATAAACACTTATTGAAAAAAACTAAAATATCATATTTTTAAAGTATAAATTAGAGTGTTTTTTGTCCTTTTTCCTCTTAATTTTTTGGAGATAAGGCGGATAAACACTAACCCCTATATTTTGTATATTAAATTATATATATAAATGCATACATAGGGTAGCATTATATATATAAATATATATAATAGTTATTTTCTTCTTGAAAATTTGTTCCCAATTAATTTTTCTCTCACATTTTAAAGAAAACAAAAAAAAAAAGTCCTACTTTAAACCTGTTAATTGTTATCCAATCCACTGTTTTAAAATTTGGATCGAATCGATTAGTTCGATCAATTGAACCAAAACCAGTTACAAAATCGATTTAAATTATGACATAAATCCGGTTTGTAATAAGACCTGGTCAAAACTTGAAAAACTTGGTCAAACTCATTGACTTCTAAACCGATGAACCATCTAGTTTACAAATTTTGAAAACATTTAACAAGTTTGTGCACTCAAGGGGATTCGAACTCCACTTCATCACTCATTTTGAAGTTTTCACCACCACTGACACCACTAATGTCACTTTCACATAAAATTTTATTTATTTAGATAAAATAAAATAAAATAAAATAAAGCGT